AGATTGTCACCAACCAAATATGTACTCCTCTCAGCAGATCTAGGATATGGAAAGTCATTTCTCACAAAATATCTTTCGATGAAGTCCTAGACCGATTGGACACAACCATCTACTACTTTTTCTTCAAGGAGGGTGACTAGAAAACTACCCATCAGGCACTTTATGCTATACTTCACCAGCTTTTCTCTTAGAAGGAGTATCTGCTGAAGCAAGCCATAGGAAAAAAAAAATTTAAAAAAAAAAATTTTTTTTGGCAAAAGCTTAAATCTTTCAATCCAATCCTTGTGAAGCATCCTATAAAATACTGCACAAGATTCGCTTACAAAGTCTATCATAATTATCCTCAATGCCTTAGATGAATGCGTCAGCCTAGACTACAGATGGTGCAGAATCCAGAGACTCAATCTGCGAAAATAATTGAGGCCAAGAAAACCTCAAGTAGCTCATTTCCAGCCGCCTATATCACAGTCGTATGGCCAAGTTCACCGACACACTACCCAGTTTCCGCAACTTTCATAGACGCGGAGAAGAAAAGCCAGATAAAATTAACCACGAGGTGAATCACATTATTACACACCGGCTCAATCAGCTAGGAGAAACGAAGAAGCTGTCGCCAAAGGTTCAACATTACATCAAGCAACGGTTACAAAACATCAGTCCTTGGACCAATGCACGACTTTATAGCATCAATTGGTGAGGCCAGGGCACACTGACGTAAGAGGTCTCGGTTTCGTCATTTGTCTCAACCCCTCTTTTGCCGGAGCACTCCATCAACTTGTTTTGCCCGAAGACACTCAGCTTCGCACGCTTGAAAGGAACGTAATTTTCACACCATCAACCACGGAAGGCTCGGGATTCACGCAGTAGGCCATATCATGACACGGCACGTCCTCATACTCGGTGGGCATGGCAAGATTGCGCAGCTGCTCACACCGCTGCTCCTACAGAAGTCGTGGACAGTGACGAGCATCATTCGAACTCCGGAGCAGATACCTGCTATTGAGGGATTGGCGACCGGCCATGGGAAGCTCAATGTCCTTGTCCGCAGCCTCGAGGACGTCAGAGAAGTGTCGCAAGCCAAGGGCATACTGGATGAAGTCAAGCCGGATTCAATCGTGTGGACTGCCGGCGCGGGCGGGAAGGGCCCTGTGGAAAGGGTGAGCGCGTGATGTCCCTCCCTCCTCTATTTCATCCAACTAACACGATGGATTACAGACATTCGCTGTAGATCGAGACGCAGCGGCTTGCTTTGTCAGAGCAGCTGTCACCACGCCAAGCATTTCCAAGCTTGTTTTGATATCATACCTCGCGTGTCGCCGAGCATCGCCCAGTTGGTGGGATGCGGATTCATGGGAATACGTCCGGAAAGTGCATGCCAGCTCACTTGCCGATTACTGCGAGGCAAAGCTGCAGGCCGATCAGGTTCTTGTCCAGGAAGCATCCAAGAGAAGCGACTTTGCCGCCATCAGCCTACGGCCGGGGATGCTCACAGACGCGTCGTCCGGGGGTGTTGAGCTGGGGAAAACAAAAAGCGCGCAGGGGAATATTAGTCGCGCGTCTGTTGCGGAGACTGTCTCGGCTTTGTTGGAGAATGAGGCCCTGGGCACATGCTGGTTGGATTTGCTGAATGGAGAGGAGGATGTTGGTACGGCTGTAGATCTTGTTGCTCAGGGCAAAGTAGATGCAGCAGACGGGGAGAAAGCACACGCCTGATAGAGGGACGGATCCAAATGCTAAGATTACGGCTTGAATGCGACTAGAAATAAAACAAAGAGTAAATGAGAATATTCTCCAATTAAAGTCTTTGTGATGCTTATGATGGGATCGTGGTGTTTAGAATCTCAATGAGATAAGAGGGAAGGTATAGGGTAGGCCACAGGATCGAAAAAGGTGCAGCTTGATGGAGTTTCAATCGATGAGCGGCTGTAACGCAGACCTGTTCTCTCCCCAGCTAATCAAGGTGAGACAATTGTTTCAGAGCCATGGTGAGCGAAACCCCCAGCGAGCCGCGATTCTCGTGCTCCGAGTGCAAGCTGCGCAAGGTCAAATGCGACCGCACGACGCCTTCCTGTGTGCGATGCATCCGAAATGGCGATGTCTGCCATTATCCCACGGTGCGGAGACGCAACGCTCCCGGCATGGGCCTGCCATCGCGGCCCAAGATCAGCGACCTGGAGAGCCGCCTCGGTGAGCATTCCCAGTAAACATGGCATGACGATGTGTATGATGGCTGACTGGGATGCCCAGCGGAGCTTGAGGGGAAGCTACGCACCCAGGATCATGGGCAAGCATCGCGGAGCAGCGAGCTCCCCCAGACTCCGGAGTCCTTCGGCGGAGGGTCGAATTCATCTACTTCTATGGCGTGGACGGGGCGCATGGAGCAGCTTCCAGCGCGGGAGCAGGTGGATGAACTGTATGCCACCACCGACTTCTACTGGGTCTTCTTCTCCTTGGACATGGGAACGGATGGCTAACGACAATCACTACGATGATTCGTGCAGGACGGACATCTACTTTGCAAAGATACATCCCACTTCGCCCATCCTGCATCCCGTGCGGTACCGGGCATCGCTGTATCAGCCACCGCACATGCAGCCGCCAATGTGCCTGCAGTACACCGTCATGACCCTCGCGGCCAACGTGTCATCGTCATACATCGCCGAGCCATTCTACAGGCGGGCGCGGAAATACCTGGAAACTGACGAGATGATGGTGAGTCTGATTCATGGCTTTCATGAGAAGGAATCCGCTGAATCGCCTTGCGCTTGTTGGGTAGGATGACGGCTACAATATCACGGTGCCTCACATCCAGGCATGGATCCTCCTCAGCCATTTCGAGGCGCAACAGCTGTGGTTCTCCCGGGCCTCCACCAGCGCATCGATGGCCGTCCGGATCTTGCAGATGCTCGGCCTGCATGCATTGGATGCGCCGCATGGCCCGACTCAGCGGACTCTACTCCCGCCAAGGGATTGGTGCGAGCTCGAGGAGCGACGACGTACGTTTTGGGCTGGCTTTATGACAGACCGGGGGACGAGCGCCACTACGGGATGGCCCGTCCTGATCAATGCACACCAGGTGAGCGATCCTACTTGATTTGTCCAGTCGGAGTGGCAGCATCATTGGGAACGGTGGGAGGACGGAGACTACTGACACGCCGTGCTTCAGATCCAGACTCGATTACCGGCATCCGATGAGGATTACCTTGCTGCTGTATCTACTGGGCCTGAGCCACAATCGTTCCAAGATGCACTGAGCAACGGCGGTACGGAGAGGTCTTCCTTTGCCTGCCGGATCATCGCCATGCACCTCTTCCACGAGTGTATTGACAGCAACCACAGTAACCCCCTGCTCCCGAGCTTCTCAGGTCTGGATGCTGAGCCGTTTTGGATGCGGTTCGCGTCCCTGGACCAGGGCATAGCGACCGCCTTTGCCACGATGCCAGCCCATCTCCTCTGCCCTGAGAACATGCACGATAACGATGCCGTTGTCGTCAACCTGCAGCTGTACACGTCTACGATATGCCTGTACCGCGCGGCGACATCGCGTGTCAAGTCAGCCAGTGAAGACGATGCGGATGCGCCACTACGACTACCGATCGACGCAAACGAGAGGGTGCAGGTCGCGGCGCAGCAGATCACGTCGATTCTGGCCATGGCCATGGACATCCACACGAGGTTCCGCAACCCGTTCACGGCGTTCGCGGCGTTCATGGCGGCCTTTGTGTTCATCAAGCGGGATCACGAGTCGGGCACGCGGTCGAACATGGATAAGGTGAATGCGCTGATGGACATGATGGTGACGATTGGCAGCGAGAACGCCATGACGGCCTCGCTGGCCGTGCAGCTCGCGCACGAGCTGATGAAGACGGGGCTGGATCCGCTGGCCATGAACAAGGTATGTTACTGTCATGTCCTGCTCCTACTTGCTTGTGCATTGATGGCTGACGAGGACCAGGTCTACGGGCTGATGAGTATGATGGACCAGCAGGTGCCGCTGCTGGGCAAGGAGAGTGAGAAGGACGGCGCGGTGGTCTTCTGCCCGATGGAAGAGCGGTTTGGGAAGACGACGCATTGATTGGTTCGTCTCTGATTGGATATGAATACACGACTTGGGTTGGTTGATGCAGAATGATCGTACATTTCGCGGTGATGTCCCTTGATGTTGCACGCCTTGTCCCTGAACTTACCTCCAGCCGGCTGAACCCACCGCGATCGGAACCGTTCCAGTGCGAAGCCAACATAAACGCAGGAGTAGTAGATGCCCGATTAACTCGACCCTAACTTAGCCGCCGTCTGTTTTGTCTGGCTTGTCTTGTGGAGAGCAGCTGTTGGCCACTCACACACGTGCTATTGTCAGAGCGTTTGCGAGCTTGGCTGACTGCTGACGCGAAAAAGTGGATGAGGGGTCCAATCTAATGAATTTAGCAAGGCGGTGAGCACCGAGATAATCGCAGGGATTGAGGAATCAGGGTCGGAGGCCTTCTGGTGATCTGCGCACGGCAGCGATGGAATGGATCGCATATCTGAAACAGCCCGTAGAAAGTTCCGGCTGCCAATCCAGACGCTGGTTGTAGCGGCCTCTTGCACTGTGTCCGCTGTGCTGCAGGTGCTTTAGACGCTACGTTCAGTCCCGCCGGTGCTGCGACTGCTGTACGTAACGGCCTGATGCGCTGTGCCTTAGCTGTAGGGAAGCTCTAATTGGGGTGCTGAGCTGTAGCGAGCTGCATGTCCGTGGAAGCCATCCGCAGCAGCTCTGCTCCATCGCTCTGTCACACGATCTTTCTCCTGTTTCGTAGTTTTCTCTCCCCTCTCCGCTGCTTCGTACGCCTGCTCTGCCCTCTCCCGTGTCGTCTACGGCATCATTGGGAGCATTGCGTTTGTCTTGCCTCGTGCCAAGCAGAGCTTCGTCCGGCCCCTCGCACGTGCTTTGCTGTGTCTCACCCCGCCATTGACTGCATCCTGCCTTTTCTCCCCTCCCCCTCCTCGTCCAGCCCGCCGACATGGCTCCCAGAGGCGAGATCCCGCCCAACTCGTCCGTCACCGCGGCGTCCGGCCGAGGCGAGACCGGTGCAGCGCCCGACCTGCGTCTCATGCACTACAACGACGTCTACCATGTCGATCCCGCCAGTGCCGAGCCCGTTGGCGGCCTCGCCCGCTTCATGCACCTGTGCCAGCACTACCGCCACGCCGAGCAGTTCAAGGGCCAGTCCGAGCTGCTGACCTTCTTCTCCGGCGATGCCTTCAATCCCAGTCTCGAGAGCAGTGTGACCAAGGGGAGACACATGGTGGATGCCCTCAACACAATTGGCACCGACTGTGCCTGCGTGGGTGTATGTGCCGTATCCTAGCTTTCCCTGTCTGCTTGTTGGACCTTTCCAATTGGGAGAAACTGACCATTGGAGCACGCAGAACCACGACTTTGATTTCGGCGTCAAGCAGTTCCAGTACCTCTCCGAAAAGACCAACTTCCCGTGGCTCCTTGCCAACGTCCTCGATCCCGCCCTCGGCGAGAACGTGCCCCTCGGAAACGCGAAGCGAACCCACATGATGACCTCGTCCAACGGCATCAAGATCGGCCTCATTGGCCTCGGCGAGCGAGAGTGGCTCGAGACCATCAACAGCCTGCCCCCGAACCTCATCTACAGGTCCGCCAGCGAGACGGCGCTCGAGCTGGTCCCCGAGCTGCGGGCCCAGGGCGCCGAGATCGTCATCTGCATCAGCCACCAGCGCGAGCCCAACGACAACAAGCTGGCCGAGAAGACGGGCGGCATCATGGACATCATCCTCGGCGGCCACGACCACTACTACTCGTACACCTTCATCAAGGGCACGCACGTCCTGCGGTCGGGCACCGATTTCAAACAACTGAGCTACATCGAGGCGTGGAGGAAGGAGGACGGGTCCGGCGGCTGGGACTTCGACATCACGCGGAGGGACGTCACCTCGGAGATCCCCGAGCACGAGGAGACGGTCCTGCTGGTGGACGAGCTGACGTCCAAGCTGCAGCACTCGCTCGCCAAGGCGGTCGGCTGGACCGCCACGCCGCTCGATGCGCGGTTCAGCACCGTGCGCATGAAGGAGTCCAACATTGGCAACTTCGTCTGCGACGTCATGAGGCAGCACCACGAGGCCGACTGCGCCATCATGGCTTCGGGCACGATCCGCGGCGACCAGGTCTACCCTCCCGGTGCGCTGCGCATCAAGGACATCGTCACCTGCTTTCCCTTTGAGGATCCCGTCGTCCTGCTCGTTGTGACTGGCCAGGCCATCTGGGACGCGTTGGAGAACGGCGTCAGCCAGTACCCTGCCTTGGAGGGCCGGTTCCCCCAGGTGTCCAACATCCACTACGAGTTCGACCCTCGCAGGGAGACCCGGAAGCGCATCTTGTCGGTCAAGATTGGCGGCGAGCCGTGTGACATGGAGAGAAAGTACAAGCTTGTGACGAGAGGATACATGGGACGTGGAAAGGGTAAGGGGCCGGATGCCGATCCAACTCCCACCAAGGGGGAATTTGCTAACACGCTGCAGACGGATTCACATCACTTCTCGTCAAGTCCGAGGGCGGCGAGGCCGAGGAGATCATCGACGAGGAGAACGGGATTCTCATCTCGGCGATGCTGCGCCAGTACTTCATGGGTCTGCGGACGGTGGGCCAGTGGACGAACCTGGCGAGCCACTGGCGAAAGGTTGCCGATAACTGCGGCACGCCGCTGTCGCCCGTCCTCCCGTCCTCCCCGATTGAAAACCCGGGGAGGGCGAGGCGGAACACCCTCGAGCGTCTGTACAGCGAGGAGACGTCCCTCGAGTGGATCGGGTTCCTGCACTCGCGTATCGGGTTGCAGCGGGCCCCCATCAACGACGATGTTAGTGACACCGAGAGCGAGAATGGGGTGGAGGATGTCCAGAACGGTGAGGGCCTGCCGACGGTGGACGACGACAAGATGGAGATTGAGCTGCTGCTGATGCGCAAGTTCGCGACGAGGTGGGTGATGAAGACGGGGTTGAAGACCAAGGTGTGTGACCCCATGAGCGAGGCCGAGGCATCGGTGGACTGGACGAGGACGATTGCGCCAGTGGTCGAGGGACGGATCAAGATGGTGCAGTGACAAGGACGGGCAGGCGATCTACCACGCCACCGGACCCCGGATTTCCTGATAGAGAGATACGACGGGACCATAAAAGGAATCTAATGACCAATTACGACGTAAGAATACAAAGTGAACGAGTTATGCAACGTTGTCCCTGTGCCAAAGTCGCTCGCTAAAGGATGGTAGTTGAGATCCCCGGCGGGAAGGGGAAGCGAAGGGGATGGGGGGCAAGGACCCTGGAACAATGACATGCAGATCAGATCAGTTCGACCCGGAGAGAGACCCGTTGGTACCATCGTCGAACAGGGAAGGGCAACCGACTCTGTGACGCCTCCCGGACGGACTTGTTGCTGTTAGCGTCAGGAGAATGGCATCATGTCCTGATCATTCCTTGTCCAGTCTCCGGGTTGACACCTGTGGAGAACGATGCTGGGCACTGGTGAGTGGATGGAGACGGCGAGGGATTCGGCATTACGCGAGTGTTCATGCAGGCAGCTATCTGAGATGGGACGGGCGGACATTATTATCATGTGGAGGGTTGATCAAAGATGAGATGGATGGTCTTTAGGACGTGGAACCCTGGTTCTCAGCCCGCCGCCCCGATCTATATGGCTCATTGCTATAATATCATGCACCAGCAGGAGGAAGAGCAGACGTTGGCTCAGGTCAGAGATGATTGATTTGCACAGAGACGCGGTTTCGCTGTTTGAGCACGCTGGTTGAGGCATGACACCACACGATGGGCAAGGCCCTGAAGCTGCAACGGACAAATCACCACGCGAGCATTTGTCAGGACCGGCGGGTTACATTGTCCCTGCGTGCGTAGCATGCGGACGGAGCCGAGTGTAAGTCACATTGGTGTGGAGATGTGAACTGAGTACAGGCGATTCTGGAGCGTCGTCGGAGCAGCGGAGAATTAGAAATACGGAACAAATCGAAAACGAATATTACACGAGATGACTGTTCCGGCACCTGATCTGATCTGAGAAAAATTAACTCGATTTGACGGCCGGTGTCGCGTGTTGAGTGTGGGCGGGATGCTGGGACATGCCCCAATCTGCTCTTCTGTAGGACCGCCAGGGGATGGACTGACACTGAAATTTAGGTGTAATCCCTGCATATCGCCTAATGAGATGCATTGCGCTAACAGGCGAGTGGGCTGTTTTTCTGTGCTTCGATCCGCCGTGGAGGTTCGTCTCGATGCTGCTGCGACGTGGGAAAGTCGCCGGCAATGCAGGCTCCCAATAACGCCCAGCACAGTTTGAGGGAGAATTCTCTTCAGGTCATCGGGCCATTCTCACCATTCATCTACACAGCCTGCTGCGATATTCTCTGCTCCGGCGGCCTGGAGCTCGGGTGCGGCCGGACGCGGATCCGTCTCCCGGACTGCCCCGGAAATCAGACCACCATCAGATGAGCAGGTCCCAGACCAGGGTCGGTCCCGGCAGCTCGCCCACTGTAGCTGGGCAGGCAAATGGATGGCTACTGAATGGTCAGAGGGCCCGTGAAGCCCTCAGATGACGTCGAGGCCTGGAGCCCTGATCCCTCGCCAGAGCTGTCGCCGGCGCCGGTCACAGAGTGAGTTGAGCCTGCCAGCCACCCCGGCCACAGATCTCGCCATTTTCTTTTTCAAGAGGCGGCAGCCATATCTATCTTGTTCCCCTCCTTCCTGTTCCCATGTTCCTGCTGAGAAGACGTCCTGTCCTTTGTTAAGAAGCGAACCTGCATCTGTGCTGTACTGCTCCGACTGTGCATGCACGTACGATCGATCATCGAACCACCGCACACCCCTCCATCCTCGTGATTTCCCCGCCAATACCGGTGGTGCTGTTTGAAATATTCGATCTTGACATCTATTTTATCTTAATCTGCCATTGCCCCAATAGCTTCACGATAGCTCGAGGCCACATATAGGACCATAGCAGGAAAGCTGCCCACACCCACATCCCATCACACAAAGCTGGTCCCTTCAGACCCCAGATCCAAACACCATGGCGCAACCGCGGCTGTTCATGACCTTTTCCCGCGAGGAAATCTACACCAACCTCGAGACTCGCATCCACTACCTCCACAGCTTCATTGACTTCAGTAGTAGTAAGTCCCCCTCTTCAAAAATACCCTCCTCGATCTGCCCTCCACAAGATCCGATCCGCTGACCATGTGTGCTCAAACAGAGGACATTGAGGCCCTAATTAGCGGCTCCAAGTACATCAAGGCCCTGATCCCCGCCGTCGTCAATATTGTCTACAAGAAGCTCCTGCAGTACGACATCACTGCCCGTGCCTTCACGACTCGCTCCACCAGCTTCGAGGGCCCGATGGACGTGCGCCTGACGGAAGACAGCCCTCACATCATGCACAGAAAGATGTTCATGCGGGCGTACCTGAATAAGCTGTGCTCCGACCCTAGCCGGATGGAGTTCTGGGAGTACCTCGACAAAGTCGGGTAGGTCCAAGCCAATTGCATCCCTAAACCACGCTCGCGAGCCGGTTCTGACATTTAACATAGCATGATGCACGTCGGTCTGGGCCGAGCGCACCCTCTCCATGTCGAATACATCCACCTGGGCATGACCCTGGCCCTGATCCAGGACATCATGAACGAGGCCATCCTCTCCCACCCCCGCCTGGCGCTCCCCCGCAAGATAGCCGTCATCAAGGCCCTCAACAAGGTCATCTGGATCCAGAACGACCTCCTGGCCAAGTGGCAGGTCAAGGACGCCGACGAGTTCCGCAGCGAGGACGACGACATCGTCATCGAGAAGGAGGGCTACGTCAACGGCGTCAAGATCCTCCGCACAGACGACGACGGCAGCAGCGGCGAGGAGTCGCGGCCCGACTCGCCCTCGCGGATCCCCAGGCCGAGCACGACGGGCGTGCACCCCGCGCCGCCGCCGGGCGTGTGCCCCTTCGCCTCCATGGTGGACGGGCTGGACCTGGACGGCAAGGAGGTGCCCGCGACGCCTCCCCCCAAGCCCAAGCCGTACGTCGCGCCGCGGCTGGCGGGGTACAAGCCCGAGAACTTTGGCGACGATAAGGTGAATCCCAACGCGCCGAGGGAGGAGACGGAGCAGCTGGTCGCTCCGGAGGCCTGGTAGAGCAGGAGAAATTAAAAGATTAATGACGTGTTTGTTTTTTTGTTTCTGGATTGTTAAAAACTGTGGTTCCTCGCTGGCATATAAATACGTTCTTTTCGTTCTGCATCCAACAGGAGTGGCGGGTGTTTGTGTGATTATTTGCCTGTTTTGAGAGCGGCGCCTGGTCTCGAGTGTAAGAATGAGTTCTATCTATCTAGTTTGCTTACAGGTTCGAGAAGGTGATGGGGGACTGTCAGTCGGCATTTACCTTGAGGTACTCTCTAATACCACCAGACGATTTTCGCTCATCGTCAAACTTATGATAGTAATTGTGCGTCTTTTGCCCGGTGATGTTCATGTGACGGGGTATCGGAAGCGCACTTGTTCAAGACCGTATAATCGATCGCGCTTCCAGTCGTAATTCCCTGATTAATGACGGATCGTGTTAGCCAGATGGGATAGACGGGATGATTCGCTTAGTGGTGACTTACTTCCGGTGCCGAGATTGACATCTTCGACGGGGATGTGAACCCAGAATCCCGCTCGATATGGCGACCCCGAGGCTTCTTCCAGCCCCTTGTCGCCGCCGGTGGCCGTGGAAGGCGTCTTGCGCCAGCACTTGAGTCCCTCGATGTCTGCGCGCTGCGGCTTGGTCGCTTCCCTGCCTTGCTTCTCGACGAGGGCGAGGTCGGTCACCTCGTACCATATCCATTTGGGGCACGAGATGGTGACGTCTGTGGACGGCGGCACGATCCTGTCGAGAAGCGCGTCGATGTCTGGAAACAGGCGGGTCTGCAGCCGCGATGCCAATGTGTCCTTGCTCCTGTACGGCCAGTTGAGACCTGTTGCGGCGTCCAGTTCGCCCCATGTGAAGCTGGCAAAGGTGATGCGGAGGACCTGCAGGGAGGGGAACAGAGGTCCCGTCTGGCGTTTGTGAGATTTGGATGCTGCCTGGCCCGTGAATCCGAGGGCGAGAGGGACCTGGTTTGCATTCCAGACTAGTTCCAGTGAGGTGATGTGTGACAGAACAGCCGGCGTCATGATGTCCGGTAAGTAATGAAGGAGGGGGGAGGACGCGATGTGGATGGTGTTTGTCCTGTACAGCACGTCCATGCCTTCTAGATATCTGCAGTCAAATACGATCAATCACCTGGCATCGTTTAAAGAAATGATATGTATATATACTCACGCTTGGCGACAGGACAGTAGCCAGCCCAGAGCCCCAATGTGACATTTCCCGGGCCACTCCCCCGGCCACTCATTGCATGTCCCTGCGCCCTCGAGACAGCAGTCTCCGTTCGGCTCAGACGCGATGCCGTGGCCGATGGGCCAGCTGCGTCGTCTGCCGTAGGACAAGGCACTGCACGTGGGTGGGATGCGGTGGCACACGCACCCGAACCAAGTCCACTGCTTGGGCTCGCCGGTGAGGAGATGAGACGGAGGACCCGTCATGGAGCCGTCGGCGGTGGCGGCGGCGCTGTACTCGATCCCGGCGTGCGTGTTGGATAACCCATCGGGTTTCGCATCTACCAGGTGGAAGGGGTGCTGGAACTCGAGGTTCATGTGCAGCGTGCGGTGGCCGAAAGCCTCAATCAGGATGAGACGGCGGATCTCGGCCGGCAGACGATCAAAGAACAGGTCAGACCTCCTCGCCGAGGTCCTCCTCGACCGGGCGCAGATGGTGACGGCGTCGACCCGGGCGAGGAAGCGCCTCGCGAACTCTTTGTCGCGGCGCCTGTACTCGCGGCGCTCCTCGTGGTACGCCGACCAGGGATCGACGATGGGCAGGATGGTGTTGTCGACGAGCTTCCAGACGTGCGCGAAGAGGGCGAGGAGCAGCATGCCGGCGGTGACGGCGAGGCCCAGGGCCAGCTCGGGGAGGCACCTGACGATGCCGATGCGCCTGCACTCGCTCCAGATGTCGGGCCAGATGTCGCCGACG